TTATTAATAACAATTATAGGGAGGATCGAACGAAAACGATTCGGACCTCCGGCGAAAGAGGAAAAGGGACCGGATCGTCCGACAGCGAAAGTCCCGGATGTCTACTGCTCCTTTACACGGATACACGCGGCCGCTGCTATATACGCCGCTTTACCAAATTAAGTTACGCGCGACGCTCGCGTATAAATTATTCCTATAAAACGCATCAGTCATTCCTCTACTTTCTCTTGCACGCGTGTATGCGTTACGCGCGAAATGATTCGGTCGCAAAGAGATTCCTCCGTGTTTAATCCCGTGGAATGGACGCATATATTCTAATATACTGTTTCAAAATTTTTCGAAGTCACGCTACCGTGGCATTTCGGAGTATTGATCTTTCTCTCCAAAGAAGGTTTCATGCCGAAGAAATTTTCTCATTCAGGTTCTAGATTCTTAGCCAAAAAGAACGAGAATATTTTGACGTGAAACAACGGGAAACTGTTGCGCGCCTGTCTGTCGTGATGAGGCAAAGGTTAAAGGCAAAAATTAAACGGATTTATCCACGCAATCGTGCAGTTGCGATGATTCGATGCTGGATTACGTTATTGTGGAGCAAGAAGAACCTCGTCACGATTCGTTCATTCAGTCACGGACAATGTTACGTGTCGGTTCATCGTATCAATCAATCGCCACGTTTCGCAAAGCACGTTCCTCGCCGCTCGCAGAATCGTTTCACGAGAACGTCAACGCCGGAGGGCACCGCTCCGCCTTTTGCTTTCGTAAGGCCTTCGATTCGGTAGGAGGATCATTACACTTCACGTGTGCATGTCTCATCAGCGGCCAGCTTTCACCCGGTAAACGCACACGCCGGTCAGTGCTTTCCATCCGGAGTGCAAGGTCGACGTCAGCCAAAAAATTCCTTTTACAGCGCCTTCTGGCCGAAGAGTTTAATTTTCGATGTTGTTGAGATAAAGAGAAAGAATATGAGGAAGTAATATGAGATATTTATCTTTATCTCATCAATAATAAATGTTGAATTTCACATGTTAAGCCTGCTGTTTCTTTTAAATTTTTTATAAATCGCAATTATACGCATACGATTACAAATTAGGCTAAAGGATAAACTCAAAATCTCCTCTCATCATTTTCTGAAAGTAAAAAAATTATCTTAATATTATTATAACACACTTTAATGCTTTAAATTTTTATCCTCTCATATTCTTACCATTTTCTCATCGCAAATAAAAGACATTACGTTAATTGCCACATCTCCATTATCACGTTATAACCCAGAGATTATTTTCGGCTTGTCAACACGTCGCACCCAGTTTTGGCATTTGTAAACTGATCTCACCTTAAGCGTTACGAAAACTATGTAAGCGTACTGGCCGCACGACGAAGGTGAGAGCAATTTAGCAGCCGAGGTCTAAAACAGGCGAATAAAATTACCTGGCTCGCGGGAAGATCAATGGGCCTTGGATGCAAACTAGGTCAATGCGATAACAAAATAGTAAGACATAGGTAGAAAATAAACTGCCTTACGAACTTGGCACTTTCCCTCGCGATGATATCGCGTCGCGGTATTTTCTACTCGATACATTTTGATTAATCTAAATTCAGTGACTACACCGACAACCCCTCGACGTTTCATTAATCGCCGGAGATCTAATGACAATTAAAATTAAAACGCGTCACAATTATCGATGCGCGTTCAAAGTTTTACAGTATCACAACATGGAGTATCCCACAACATACAGTATCAAAACAGTATCGCAGTTGAAATATTAGATTTCCTATACACGGAAAAAACAATTTTGCTGAATCCAGATCTGAAAACAATTTTTCAATAATCAAAATAATTTTGTGCGAAAGTCAAAGTGATTGCTAGAATATCGAAACGTATTTTATAGCAATGCTTATCAATTTTAATATTCCAACAAATTATTTTGATGATTTAAGAAAAAATTATTTTCAGATCTGTTTTTAGCAAAATTTTCAAACCTTTCAACAAAATTGTTCTTTCCGTGTAATCTTCTTAAAATTTCGGAGTCTGAAATTTCCTGTCAGATTCTCTACTTGAAAGTTTTCATATATATTCGGTCATTTTATAAAGTTGAAGTTTGCTTGCCTCGTAAACAAGCTTAATTGCTAGCAAATAAGACACTAAACTTTTATAATATATCACAGTCTCGATATTTCTATTTAAAAATTATATTTTTATTATATTATCACATTTAAGAATTTATATAAAGGCTATTTATAATTTCTTCGATTAAAATTGTACGCAAAATTTCATTTCAAGCAAATGTTCAAGCAATTAAACCGAAATGTTACACCGATCGTACGTTCCACGTACGTACAAAGCAAGGACGGATATTCTTTACTCAAAAAGGCGACGATCCGATCGTCGTCTAATCGACCTCGCAACATCTTGCGAGTCACCATGGTTACAAATTTGGCGAGACTTTCGCGCGTCAGCAGCGCGGCGACCAGTGACGTTTCGCGCACATATCCGTTTCGAACGCGTGCGCGTAAAACGGCGCTTTCTCCCCATCTAAGGACATTTGCTTGAAAAATCCTCACGCCAGTTTTTTCCGCGGCCTGTTTTCGCGCACGGTCGCTCGATAAATTTTCTATTTATTAAATATACGACTGTACATAGCGATCTACGTTGGTTTCCGGTAAGAGCTCCGCCACTTGTCGCAGCTGTTGCTGGCAAGCACGCACGTGCACGCATCGCGCGTGAGCCCTTTATGGGCGTGAAAGTCGTCGATCACGCTCCAGTGCCATAGTACCATCTATCGAATGTCCTGATGTTTTTTTTTTTTGAACTGTCAACTGCGATAGATCTCAATGATACAAAATAAACCTTGCTAGGTAGGATATGTTATGTAGCGAAAAGAAAGGCAAGAGTTTTTACGTAAAATATTCTAGACATATTGGAATATATCTTAGAAGCGAAATTAACAATTTTAAGAGATAAGTTTGTCTTATTAAAGATAAAGTTTGACATTAAATATCGCTTGGCAAAGAGACTGTTGAATAAAAAAGAAATTTCGGAATTATCGTTCAGCGTATCTGGGACACTGGTGTTGTATGAATTGACCTCTCTCCGTCACCGGAGAGCAACTCTTCCGAAAGTTAATATCTTCTTACATAAAAATTGGCATACGGTCGACCGGATAATAGCCTGCTTACGGTCCGTCACGCGCAATAGAGCAAACTCCAAGGAGCTTATCGATGGATTGCAACCGGCCGATCGATCCATTATTCACCGCTTCTCAAAACCGAGATCGATACGCGATACGATACACAAATCAATGTCGAAACTCAGCAGTGTCTACAAAGACACGATCGATTTGCCATGATATCATCTCTTTTGTGGCGCCGGTACGTTCTACACGTGTATAAATCCGACCGAGTCTCCTTTCGCGATCGCACCATCACGGCGGTTCGATCCACGGCGCGATTCTCGGTCGACCGGATCATATAATTGATTTAGGCTTTCGTCGAAATGCTTTTAACTCTTGCGATGCACGCTCCTCTTCCACCAGAGTTACGGTGAACGCTTCCTGCTCTCGAGAGAGCGGCCCAATAACACTCCCACTCGGCAATTCGTGTAGATTGATCTTTACGATCTACCGCCGGCTCGTAGATTCGCCGCGCTTATTTCGGATCAGCTGTATTTAATCCACGTGGTATGCGACGATAACGTCGGAATGACATGATTGTGGGTCATCGTCTCCTCCCGACCGCTCACATACGAGTGGGATCTTCAGCGCGAGAAATAAAATTCGTGTAGGAATACGAAGAGATGCAAGAACTCTTTCAAATTATAATTTGCCAGATTTTTATCTTCTAAAACACCCAATGAATTGACAATAACATCAAACTGTTTCTGTGTTGCAACAATGATTACGATAGTGCAATAATGATTTTCACAGTAATGCATAATATATAGGTTTCAAATGGTGTATTGCTATTCATGGTTGGACGTCGTTACGATACATTCAATTGCGTACTCCAGCGCGCACTTTCCAAAGTAATTAACTACGAGTTTACCCACGTCACGTGACAATCGTTAATTGCTATTCCATTCGTTTGTCATTCTATGGATACAATCGTAAGAATAGCGCGGATGCGCTTTCGTCCCGCGCATAGCAATGACTATATGTGCGAACGTGTCATAAAAGCCATAATATATGGCTCACAAATATCGATATGTCATAGATTACCAAGCAAGAATATCGATGAGATTGACTAACGTTTTGTATGTGTATAGGTAAGTCGACATAATTTATGTACTTTCCATTTTATCTATTTTTTAATCAAAACTTTAAAAATCTAGTAAATTGTTATTTATCGCGTCTTGATCACGCAACGTGCATTTATTATTTACATCTGTTTATGCATGAACTTAAAGAACCCATTGAAACTTTACCATTTTAGTTAGAAAACAAGCGGATATATAAAACAAATGATAAATAAAATAATAATATATAAACTCACCATGCGCGCAACGTTACTAAGAAAACTTTTGTAAAAACGTGACATTCGAGTCGTTCTAATATGTGACCATGGAATTCTAAGAAATATTTAAATAGCTACCCTTGTCTCCTCCAACTGACCCCGGCCTAATCTGACATTTCCGTCCTGAAGTCTCCTCTAAACCTCATCGTCTATCGGAAAATTCTCAAGAGAGTGCTCGAAAGATGCGACGAGAAACGAGAGAATTTCAAGAAACATTTAAAGATAGAAACTGCGAAGGGGAAAGAAAAATAAGTTTACAGAGGAATAGAGCAAAAAAGTAGCGGAATCGAAGTTATCTCTGCAGATCCCATTAGAATGACAGTTACGTAAAATGCGAAAGTCGATAGTAATGAAATTGGACTTAATTCTAATGAGATTAATTGGAAGTCTCATTGAAAATGCCTCGTCGCATCTCCGTGTATCCGCGCGTTTGCGCAACTCTTCCCGTACGTGCTCCGTATCGAGTAATTCGACGTGTATTTCATACTCACGCTTTTGCCGTGGCTCGTGCTGTGGTGCGTGTGATGCGTGTCGAGTTTCATATTGGCGCAACGATTAAGGGCGTGCAGACGCCGGAAGAGGCTCTGCAGCGAGTCGGCCTCGAGGAAAGGGTGGTCCTTGGCTACGCCGGAAACGTCAATCGGAAACTGATAATCTGAAACACGAAGACGGATGCTCGTCAATTTTCGTTACACCCGCTCGATTATATCGCTCGCGATAGGATAAGGATAGAATATCGCGCTTACGCACGTATTTACGTAAAAAAAAAACAACGTACGTCGCAGTGATATTTGATAACGTCAAAAACATTCGCCGTATCAGCCGCGTTTGTTTGTTGCAAACGACGCATTCAGGGTCGTTCGATTCGCTATCGAATGTGCTAAAACGCGCACAGGTATACACCAATGAATGGACCAAACCCATGTCCATTTAGTCCACGAGGATTAATCTCCTCGTGAATCCAAAGAGGACCCATCATATATTGATTGTGCCGTTGTCGCGCCACTTTATTCTTTTTTTTTTTTACACAAAACGTTTGAACTCGAACAAAAAATTAAAACACACGTTTCGTTTCTGCATGGTTATTATTATCCTACTGAATTTTATATGTCTAAAATATTTTTCTATCAATATATTTTCTCGTAAATTTAATTAACAAAAATGCTTTTGTAATATCAAATAAAAACAATTTCTTTATCTATTTTATTACAAGAAAAAAAAACAGAAAATAAAAATTGAAATTTAAAATATACGAAACTCCTATATTAAACCTTTAAATTCTCCGCAGCTACATGGCTTTATTACGCACGAAAAAAACTGTTAATTGTCGTTGTAATATGGCTTTGAAAAATATAAATTCTACGAATGCTATTATTAACACAAATGACCGTTGAAGCCGTGTAACGATCGTTTTACACTTTTCGTTTGCAATAAAAATTGCAGAGGTTATTTTACATTCCATAAAGTTACATAATCCACTTTGCATGTAGCAAAACTAACACAGTAACAAACTTTCGTGAATAAAACGTCGGCGTTATTTTTTCTCATTTTCTGCAGTAGCAGTGACAGTAAAAAAACGGTTCATTCTTATTGCTAGCAAAAATTAAAGTTGTGATTTTTAATGGTGGATTTTGCCTCTCTCCGCTATACCTATCTCCAGTATTTCTTCGTAAATATGTCGCCGCGATCTCTCGTAAAAGTTCGGAGGATTTCTGTCACGACTTGCGCAACGCTGGCCTAGATCTTCTGAACCAGATCTTGGATCTACGATCTTTAACCGGGATTCCAGAATCGATTCATCGATACCTTAAAGTAGAACGGCTCATCAATGAGCACGGCAAATGTTTTCATGATATTAAAATTTTTTTTTTTTTTTGCGAACGTATATACGTTGTCTTGTATCGAAAATATTACTCTACCTGATTTATCTATCTGCGCAAAAAGCCAAAAAGGGAAGGCGTTGCCCGTAATGTTTCATCATGGAAATTAGGGCTTCTCGCAAACAAGCTTGGTAATTAAAACAAATTCCCTTTACTGTGGCAACTAATGTGTAAGCGCGCGTATGTCAGCCACGTTTATTTTCACTTATTAAAGCGTAAAGATGATTAATGACCTCGAGCAGTCCCTAATGTTACTTGATAGCGCGGATAAATTAACCGGTTATCTCCTCTACGATACACCGACGTTGTACACCTCGCTTCTTCTTCTTCTTCGAAACGCTTAAACACGCGCATCCGTATTTTCCAATCGTTAACATTTCTTCACGCCGTGGCACAGCCAAGAAGTTTTTGCAGTACCTCGTACTTCGAATACGAATAAACGTGCCGTGTAACAACTATAAAACCGCCGTAGCAATTTCCATCTTAGGTTCACATTATCATTCACCGCACACGTGATTTGACACGAATGCAAAACACGCTATTACAAAAACTCTCTATCATTGGAAAATTTATTGATTTTTTTTTTTAAAGCTACATACATGAAAGTGCAAAATATATGTTGAGACAAACGGTATTGTGGCAGGCAGTCCCGCATTCTAATAAAGCGTGTCAACCGACGAGAATATAGAATGGCGCTTGTGTCAATGTTATTCGATGAAGAATGATTTGATTCATTGCACATGTGCATATCTTTATATCTTTTGCCAGCTACGCATCAGCACAGCGATCAGATCGTTCGCTAAGGATTTTACGATGCTATCGATAGATTTACGTTAATGACCGGCGGCGTTCGCTTCCTGGATATACTAGTTACGGACCGATCATGTTTTACCGGGAAATTCGCTGGCCATGTATACGATATTGCTCGTCTGACGAATCAATTAGCATGTGAACTTTCACTCGTCGACACAATAACGACCGTCAGCGAGTACCGATCTGATTGTTTGCCGCCGTAAAAGCGAGTTACTATTGACACGTATTAAATCTCGCCCCCCACACACACACACACACTCGTCCGCTTTTGTGGAGAATATTTTATATTTCTCCTTTTCATATATTTCCTTTCTTTTCCATTCTCATCTTTCACACACATAGCTTCTCTCTGCCAAGGTTAAAAAAAAAGATCAATTTTATAATGGCAACCCGTTGTCCCGCTCGCGAGACACAAAAAATTCACTCCGCGAGCGACTTGATAAATTTATCCGGCGGCGCATCGGGCCAGGAATGGCGATGTGATCGATCGGATCATGTCCTTAATTTATCACGCCGATCGTCAGACACGACACCCACATTCGGTCGCGTCGCTGGAATTCCACGAAGGATCGGTCGAGGGGATCCTCCTCGTGGCCGGACACGACCCGCGGTAATATCCTTGCGAGATCGCGTGTGTGTATGCGCGCGTGTGTGTGAAAGTCGCGTGATTCCCGTACGTGTTCGATGGGCGGCATCGGTATCGGTATTTATATCGTGCCTTGCGCCGACCGACTCGGGTTCAACTGGGTCAATTAGCTACTATTCATAGTGCGCTTCGATCGCGAGAACTCGTCTGAGTTATGATCAATCGTGCACTTTGTATAACGTGGGTACCACGCACGTGTATACATACGTTTGTGCCTAAACACACACGCACGTGCTCGCGTGAGTTTGCACGCACGTGTGTGTGCATAAACTCCCGCGTTCGCCAGACGTATTAGAGCTGTCAGTTTAGAGCTGATAGTTCCGAAGCTTTTACGATATACTCGAATATACATATGATGGTAAAAGAATACCTTTATACGTGGATATTTACAGATTTTTGATAGTTTAATAAAACTTTTCTAAAAATTTAAAAATATGGTTAACAAATCTTCTTCATTCTCGTCATAAATAAATATAAAATCATATAAAAAAATAGCAAAATAAATTTAAGTAATAATCATATATAATTTACTCTATATAATATTGCTTTATTATACAATATTAATTTATTATTTAACAAATTAAATCTGTTTTCAAATAAATCATTCTTATTAGGCTGTTTCGCGTAATTCCCTCATATAATCCACGAGAATTATGAGCGCTCGAGTTTATCTTCTGTACGTATAAAAGATAGACGTTCTGACTAAAAATAGTCACACAATCGCGTTACCGCGGCGAGGGGGGGGGGACGTGTTTGTATGACAGTTTAGAAAATAAACCATGTCGTTTACCAAGCTGCACCATTTCTTCTTCCCGCATCTGGGTCGCTGCGACGGTTACGTCGCGTCGTTCGAAATCTGTTTGTAGGCTGCGGCAGTAGACCGAGCCGCGCGGTTCGTACGCACAAATTAAATTAAAGTTTTATAATGCGCCGCTTGTCTCTCCCACGCGCGCCGCAAAAAGTGAAAGTCCCGTATACCGTCTCGTAAGTCCCTCTCACGCCTAGTATCCTAATTGCTCGCGCCAGCGTTATGTAATTACCGATAGCACTGCGGTTGTACCGCTGTTAGTATTAGGTAATTGAAGTGAACGTGTTGATATAATACGATAAATACGATCGATCGTCCTTAACCCTTAATAAACGTGCCGGCATAAATGCTTATAGTCACGCAATACGCCGACTCCCCTCGTATAATTTCATTATTAGAAAAATTTGAAATAAGGTGTGTACCAAAGCTTCACACACAAAAGTGTATTAAAATATTTGCAATAAAAAATTATTTTATGATAATAAAAATAATTTAAAAATGATTCTGTAATATATGAAAAAAAAAAATGTGTTGCAATATTTTTCCCGTATCTAATAGCGTTGAAAGAAAACAACTGTTATGAGCAAAGCGTCCCCAGCGTCAACGAACCTAGTGGTTTGGACAGTAACCGTTGTTCGCCAGATGCTTTCGTATACACGAGAGGCATCAGCTGTGTTCCCGCCGCGAATTCTTCGGGGGCGTAAATGCGACTTCGCAGTTAGGACGGCCCGCCGGTACCGTGCCATTCCTCTTCCCGCTTTTGGCATGTGGGTCGCTGCATCGCGCGTCGCAATGTCTCCTCCTGTCCGGCTGCATTGCGCCGCGACATGTTTATGGGGGCCTCGACTCGAGCAACGGTCAGCTCTACTGACTCACTGTGCGATACCTATAACGTCGTTCGAGAATCACGTTTCTAACGAGTCAAATACGCGCGCGCACATATACACGTATACACACACGCGCAACGACTCCGGCCAACAAATCAAATGGGAGGCGCGCGAACGCGTTCGCCGGTATTAATTTATCACGACGATTAAACGCCCGAGTCAGCCATGAGAATTAAGGCTGCATTTCGACCCCCTTATAGCTCCGCGCTGAAATCGGCGCGATTATGAAAGGAGCGGTACAAAATTTTTCCAACAGTGTATGTCTTCTTTTTCGTTTTCGAACACCTAATTAAAGGCCTCACGGATTATTGATGAGCCGCGTCGTTCAATTTTACGGAGGGAAATTTGTCGAGGAGTTTGGCGAGCTAATAGCTATCTCTTGCGCACGACCACGTGTGTCGCGAAGTTATTATTAGCGATAATGATAGAATTGTTAACTTCGACCTCGGAAACATTTAAATCACAGAGTTGCGTCGAGATGTGAATAAATCGCGAATAAACTGCACGATGCAGTTGGATTTTATTCATATTGCTGTACAGAAGAGAAATCGAAATTATTAGTAAAAAAATTTGGATAAGTGTATATAATTAAGTGGCACATATTCAAATCTAATTTTTATA